TGCAGGCCGAGATGGCCGAGTTGCGCCAAGACCCCGGGGCTCCTCAGGGTGCCTGTCAGAGGATTGCTCTCGATGAAGGCTTTGCTATGCTGCAGCTGGCCGCTGCTCACGGGGGGTGCGATCACAGACATACTCGTGTGTGTGGGGTGTTATGACCCATGTGCAGCTCAGCAGCGAGTCGTGTGCAGGAGATTTCCGGCACCAGCTTATTGACCGGGGCATCCAGCTTGTTACGCACAGCCGTCGAGCGGTGCTCTCGGAGGTCCGTCTGACTGACCCCCTCCCTCCCCTCTGTATGTGAGTGTCTGTCATCTCTGCAGGCCCGTCTTTCGCTCCGTGTGCATGGCCCGGCCCATCCAACACATGGATCTGGTGCACCCTTGAGTGAGCTACACAGGTGCCAAGAGAGAGGGGCAGGTCAGCAAAACTGACGGCGCCACGCAACCGAACAAAAATGTCACCATTTTGCCATTTCTGACCGTAGGATGACCCTTGTCGGCCACCTGTAGGCCCACATACGACTGATAGACCTATAATAGAGGTATGTGTGGGTGCGAAATCCATCAAAATGACTTTTTTGTGCGCGACTTTTCTTCTCTGACCTACTTCGCCCAGTGGGTGGGCAATCAATCTACCCCCAGGTAGTAAGTATACACCCTCCACACACACCCTCCCTCTCCCTCTCTCCCTCTCCCTCTCCCTTGTGTGTGTGTGTGTGTGTGTGTGTGTGTGTGTCAATCAGCCGTCTGGGTCGGTGCCGTCACAGCTGGTGCATCTGAGGCAGGCCATCTGACTATATACCGAGAGGGAGGGAGGGAGGGACATACGTGGATCGGTGGATAGATGGATGGGTGCGTTGTGGTTGGTGTGGGTGTGGTTGGACGATGCTGTGTGCAATATACACCATGACTATCAATGCTTGAATATACATTGCACGAGCCTTGTTGGATTTTCACTTTGGGTTTTCACTTTGGGTTGACGTGAGGGCGAGCATTCACACGCACGAGTCTCATATTCCATCAAGCACGACACGCCGCATCACACACCATGCAGCGAGGCCTGGAGATAGACAGGAAGAAGACCATTTGAAACCAGCAAGTGCCATGTCTACTTCCAGGCTACCCGTCTTGACATCAACACGCACACCCGTGATGACACTAGCCCCTCTCCCCTCCCCCTTAGTCATGTTTGACGTGTGTCTCTCTTCACATCTTCACATCTGGGCCATCATTGCCGCTGCCTCCGCAATACGGGCGGCGAAGCGAGCAGTCGAAACCGGGATCAGGCCCGGGTCGCTGTAGCTCAGATCAGAGCCCAGCTCAGCCGCCGCTCGTAGGGCCGCTGTGTCTTGGGTTCTGTCGGGGATGTCGTTGGCCACCGGGGCCTCCTCCGTTTCATTGCTGGGCGTGTCCACATCGCCCCCGTTCTCTGTCTCGTTGCTGGTGCTGTTCGAGGCCGCTTCCTCTTGGCTGCTGTTGTCCGTTCGGGCCGCACCGTTGATGAGAGCCAGCAGCTCCTGGCCTGCCAGGCGGCCTTGGACAGATGCATTCACCAGGGCCAGTATCGCAAGGCCCATACGACGGCCTTCGGCGGCGGGCACAGGCTGCATGCAGGTGCGGTAGCCAAGGGAGCCGGCACCCTTGCTGGTAAGGCACATGGTGGATGATGCCGGTTGGCTGACGCGCCGACCCAATGGAGCAAACTTGAAGAAACTCGGAAAGAGCGGCACCGGCCCTGAGACGTCTGCTGGGGCTGATCCTTTCACTGCGCTGCTGCCGCAGGGTACTCGCTTGTTGTTGTGAGGGAAAGAACGTCTGATGCCTCGAGCTCAAACGGACCAGTTTCGTTTTTTCGTCGACCCCCAGGAAAACCCGACCGCGAAACCTTCCGCGTCCGTGGGTCGAGGGGGCGCTCCAAAAAAGAGAGGAAGAGAGAGTGGAAGATGGCCTCTCCTCTTGCGGTCGGGAAGTTGAGCATCCGTGTCCGCAACAAGGCCCTATCGAGAGCCCATGTTCGTGTGGTGGAGGCGAGGGAGCGGAAGACAGTCGAGCAGGAGCTCGAGAAGGCCGTGGAAAAGGGGAAGAAGATGGAGCGGGGGGGTGGAGTCACGGCTGGGTTTGGCGGCGTTGAGATCGGCCTGGAGGCCAACAGGGGCACAGAAACACGTAAGAACGGGAGGGCTCCACCCCAGCGAAGTTGGGGCAGGGCTCCTATTGTCTTGTGTATGTGTTCAGGTGACAAGACGGAGGAGAAGAGCCGTGTTCACATTCAGTAATCATTGAAGAGTCGGCCTTTCAGCTGCTCAACCAACTCATACACCCAGAAGAGCACCCCAATGGCATCGCAATCATAAGGGTGAGGGAAGAGCCCATGGATCTGCAGAGGTCGTTCACTTGCCCCGCTGCTCATTTGTCAATTGTCGTCAGGGTAACCCGCCATTTGTGTCGCTTCTGACCGAGACCATCGAGGCCGCAAACATCGAGGCCAAAGAGGCGGCTTTTCGTCTCAACAACGTCGCCACAAGGCTTGTCTTGACATCGGCGAAGAGCATGGCTCTCGGGGTGTCAGTCGGGCTCGAAAAGAAGAAGGGACGGGAGACGCATGAGGAGGCCGACCCCTCGCAGCTGTGGATCAAGCAGACGGACACCTTTTGCCCCAAAGGCGCTTTCCGTTTGGTGCCGAAGGCTTTCCCTGACAAGACACTGGCGGTGAGCCAATTGATGGGCAACAAGCTCGTCCTCGATTCCCCAACGGCCGAGACAGACGCCAAGAACACCAAGGGAGAGGCGAAATTTGAACAGTGTCATGGTCTCTGCAGAAGATGTCCAAGCCCCCCAGCCGACGACAGGGGGCCTCTGCGCTCTCTGTTGTCAGATCTGCAAGGACCAGGTCCGCGTCTCGCCCGACATAGAATTCGACGAAAGAGGCGAGCAGAGGAGGGGAAGCAGTCAGTGCGACGAGCAGACAGTTGCCGTCAAGTGTCACGGCCTGCCGGATTACGTGGTGGGAGTCAAGACCTCTGGCAACACCAAAACTCTGGTGCTGGTGAAAGAAGACAAAGGCGTCCCAAAGGAGGCCCTGTGGCGTTGCAGCCAGCCGATTGTGGCCGAGAAGGGTAAAAAGGCGCTGACAGACAGTGCCTGCAAGCACACGACATATCTTCTGCCTCAGGTCAAGATGTGCTCACCGAAGCTGCCACGACGGAGGAGGTCGGCGAGGTGCATTCACTGATGTCACTCACGTATCCTGACCATATGTTTCCTGCAGATGAGCCTGTTCGAGGCTTGTGCGGAGGGCAATAAGGAGGCTGTCCTTCGAGCCATCAAGGCGAAGGGCGTCAAGTGCTTGGAGGAAACCGATGAGGTGAGACACAGGTGTGCTTCACCCACACTGGGGCGAACTTTGGTATTCGTGGCTTGCAGGAGGGATTCACGCCCCTTCACTATGCTGCGCAGAACGGCCACGAGGTGATTGTGAGAGAGATAGTGGCCAAAGGAGGGAAAGGCCTCATCAAAAAGCAAACGAAAGTGATGGTGAGCAGAGATGCACTATCAATGATCGGCAGCATGAGTCTTAGGTGGTATCGATTGCTGCAGAACGAGCCAACTGTGTTGCATTTGGCTGTCGGGAAGGGTCATGTGGCAATCGTGACGGCGCTTCTTGACGTGGGAGGTGCAGATTTGTTGACGACACTCATCGACAAGGTAGGTAGAGGTAAACACGTATGAAGCCGCAGTCTGGCCACAACACCGGTTGCATATCCTCTTACAGAACCTGCGGACGGCTTTTTTGCTTGCCGCGTGGATGTGCCACCTGGATGCGATGCGGGCCATGTACGCAGTGATGGAAAAGCAGCGTCGAGGCAAAACGCTGCTCGACCAGCAGGCGAGAGTACGAACCGAACAACGGAGAAATGCATCGCAACTCGAAATCAAACTGATGTCTCTCTATATGGATGCAGCACGGGAACTACGCTATTCACTACGCGGCCTTCAAAGGTCACCTTGCTGCGATCCAACAGCTGATCGGCTGGGGCGGACCGGAAGAGCTCGATCGGAGGAACAAGGTGAGAAAAGCACATACGAGGTGAAAAAAAGGCATCGTATCGATTGTATAGTGCGATGGTCACCATATTTATCCCTGTGGTTGGCGGCTCAGTTTAACAGCACTCCATTTCATAAGGCTGCAACGGAGGGTCATCTTGACGCCATGCGGGCCATGCGGGCCATGCATGCAAAGAAAGGAAAGCCCCTCCTCGACCAGGAAGACAACGTAAGTGACACTACTAAGTGAGGAAGGGGAAATACTGATCGGTGGACGACCGAAATTGCTTGATGTGTGCTAATAGGATGGGAGCTGTGCGATCCATTACGCCGCCTGGAAGGGCTACAAGGCCATGGTTATTCAGCTCATCGACTGGGGAGGCGTGGGCGAGCTCGAGAAAAAAGGAAAGGTCCTTCCAGACCATCCAGTGCATCTTTCGACCAACAAAGTGATTCCCTGTAATATCTGTGTCCGCTCTTGCTGTGTCACCCAGAACCAGCACACGCCATTTCACCTTGCTGCTCAGGTTTGTGATGTCATTCATAGGAGACATATAATTGTCTCTTCCATGTGGAACGCAGTTCGGTCAGGTCGACGTGATGGAGGTGATGTATGCTAAGGGGGGCAAAGGGCTGCTGGAACAAAAGGGCAAGGTAGAGAGCAACAGATTCGATCGGCTCTCCTCTACCTGTGTGTGTGTGTGTGTGTGTGTGGCAGAACGGCATGTACGCCATTCACTGGGCAGCTGTGCAGAATCACGTCGCTGTCGTGAAGAAGCTGTTTGAGTGGGGAGGTGCAGCGGGAGAGCTGGAGCGTCGCAAGGATGTAGGGAAAGTCACCCATGCAATGAATATTCTACTATCCGTGTATGTCTGCTGTTTGTTATGCTGCCATGGCTAAGAACGACAACACGGCGTGGTTGAATGCTGCGAGTTGCGGCCACGTTGATGTGATGGAGGCAATGTACGCAGCTGCAGGAAAAACCCTGCTGGATCAACAGAACAGAGTGAGCTCACTGAGCTGAGACACCAACCAATACACACATGGAAGGAAATGGCATGTCTATGTCGACGTGATGTGGTTGCGTGGATGCAGAACGGGTATTGTGCCATACATTTCGCCAGCCAGAAGGGGCACGTTGAGGCAGTGAAGCTCTTGGTATCTTGGGGCGGCACTGAACAGCTGACGACAAAGAAGACAACGCAGGGCAAGACCCCCATGGACTTGGCGCAGAGCGATGAAATGCGCAAGCTGATTGACAGCTACAAATAGGTCATTTTCTGGTGTCTTAGGTGCGTCTGATGGCGCTGGTGTGCCCTGTGTCCTAGGCAGAAGGACATGGAGACATCATTAATTAATTGTCACTAGCGCTAGCCCGCACACACAATGGCATACCGACCACACACAAGGGATCACATCGCCCTTCTGGTTCGTCATGTCATCGATCAACTTCTCCCTCTCTGGTCCTGGGTACACCCATCAGCACCTAGACACTCCAGAGCTGTTCTGCTGACCCTACACACGAGACACCGATACAAACGGAGGGCATACCGACAATCCTTAACACGTGCACAATTCTCAACAATTGAGTCAAATGAATGACTGGCAATCAGTCACGCACTGTCACACCCCAGCCCACACACTGACTTTGTATCACAGCAGCGGCAAGGGCCGGCAGGAATAAAATGACCCGCCTCAGTGTCGCCTAGGGTGAAGGGTTGGGTGAAGGGGTTCATTCAGCAGGGTTTCCATTCACCAGGGTTTCTGGCTGACTGCTGAAGGATGCAGAAGGCGCTGTCCACGACGCAGATCCAGACGCTCTGGACGGAATTCGACCGCATCGTATGCCAAACACACAAAACAACCCATGGATCTTTCATCCCATTAATGAGTTCACGAGCTCCGTGCGCGTGTGTGTGCGTATGCAGGCCCGTCAGGCGGGTCTGTCGCGGGAGAGCTTCGTCAAGGGCTTCAAGACCCAGTCGAAGGGCAAGGATGTGACGCAGGAGAACCTAGAGGCCTTCAAGCAGTACGTCAGACAACACAGAAATGACGGCAGGAGGGGCAGGTACAATGTCAGCAAACCCGCTGATCAACAGCGGCAGCAACCGCAGCACCAGCAGCTTGACAGAAATGACAATGGAGGCACTCGGCCGGCCAACCAGCAGCAGGAGAAGCCGCGTGCCAAGACGTCGCCGGGAGGGGAGAGGGAGGGCAGTGGTGGCGGTGGCGGTGGTGTATCGGGCAGCCCGCCGGTGAATGGGGCGAGGTCGCGTGCTGCGAACAGGGGGGGGGCCAAGACACCCCAACAACGTCCACCGCAGCAGCAGCACCGGAAAGGTGAGAAGAACATAACTGCACACGGAAGTGGGACCAGAGTAGATGGGCATTGTCTGTGTGCAGGGTCGGGCCCTCCTGCTGCTGCTGCGGCGGCGGCGGCATCTGGAGGTGGCAGTAGTGGTGCTGCGGCAGCAGCAGCTGCGGCTGCATCATCATCGCCAGCGCCATCGCCTGTAGTGGATTTGTCGACTGCTGGCGTGGGCATATTCTCGCCACTGGCTGCCAGGCGGGGCGCACCACTCCCGCACAAACAACCCAAGAAGTAAGTACACACACTCTCACTCACACACAGAGAGCCACACCGACACAAGCAACGGTGTGCTGTATTGTTCGTTGTGTGAAGGCCTGACCATCAGCAGCAGGGCAGTAGGGCGACAGTGTACTCGCTGAACAGTGACAAGCTCGACGGCCTGGAGGGCCGCATGACGCCATACGACCAGCAGAGGCTCAAGATCACAGTCCTTCCCAGTAAGTAAGCACGGTTGTCACATGGCAGCCGAAGCGAAGACACCCACCCCACCCATGTGTTGATGTGTGTGTGTGTGTGTGTGTGTCATGTGTGTAGGCATAGAGCAGTACGAGGACCATGACGGCGTGGGGTTTGGGTGCCGCTGCCCATACGCCTACAAGTGGATGGCCGCAGACGCCCGAACCAGGAGCAAAACCACTGGTGGGTGAGGTGGGTCGGGGTGGCTGGGGCAGGCAGCTGTACGTGTGTGTGTTGTTCATTGATTGTTCAGACGAGCGTGTGCACATGATGTGCAAGGCGTTGAAGGACCACCTGGAGGATGACTCCGAAACTGCCGACACCTTCGATGCCGCACAAGTCGGCGACACACGACAGGTACACACACCACGCACGCCCTCCGACACCTTCACAACTCGCGCTCACCCCTTCTGCATTTCTGTGTGTCTTATGTTGTCCGTGCGCTGTGTCAGTCGGATGTGTGGGTGTTTGGTCGGATCGTAGCTGACTCGGAGAGCGGCCCGCTCAACGCGGCCTCGTGTCTGCTCGAGGGGGACAGGCACTACTCCAACGGCGATAGAGTCGAGCTTAAAATCGTAAGCATGACAGACGCCTACACTGCGCACGGCACACACCAGGCAGATGCCCACACTGCGTTGGTTTGTGTGTTGTGCATATGTGTGTGCAGGCTGACGACGTTCGCTGCGTACTGTTTCCAGGACAAGTGGTCAGAGGGACACAAGAGTAGGGTGGGCATTGCAGTGCATCGCCTCGGGTGGCTGCATGTGTGTCTGCTGTGTGTGTCCTTGAGTGCAGGTAGCAGCGTGGGGAATGGGTGAGCGCGTGGGCAGCGGCATCGGACGATTCACGGCCAAGAAAATAGGTAGGCAGAGAGAGAGAGAGAGAGAGAGAGTGGCCTTCATTCCACCCCTTCATGTGGATGGGAACGGAATGGCATGTGGGGCATTCAGTGTGTGGCCTGCCGTCACCATCGCCCACACTGCCGCTGCAGACGCTCAGACGATCCAGCGATGAAACGGTACACACGCGGCCTCATCCACAGACAGCCAGAGGGCCGAACACGCCTCTCTCTGTATGTGATTGTGGTTGTGTGTGTGGGTGACATCAGTATGGCGGCAAGCCTCTGCACATCGCCGTGGCCACGGGGCCGTTCGTGCTGCCCGGCACACTCGACTACACCCCACTAGGTCTGTGGGTGTTGTTGTGGGCGAGGGGCACCCACGAGATGCATACAACCCTCTCTGTCTGTTGAGTGTGTGTTCCTGCAGATCGGTTGTTGGCGCAGTTGAGTATGTCGCGCCCCAGGCTGTTGGTGCTCATGGGGCCATTCGTTGATGCCAGAAACGAACAGGTGGGTTGATGGGGTCACACGGAAAGGGTATATTGTATTTTTCGGCGTCATCAGGTAGCTGCAGGTGCGTTGGTTGAGAAGCGAGAGCCCGATGAGGACAACGTTGACATGACGAGAGATGACGACCAACTCACATGTACCTGCGTGAAAGTGCTAATGCTGCTCTCACCTCGCAATGCGTCCATCCACATGTCGGCCATGTGTGCCAACTTTGCAGCGTATCTGTGTTACGAGGAGGTGTACCGCCGCGTGTTTGAGAAGATCGACGCCTTCAGGCGGGGAGAGGAGAACGTCAGCCCCATACAGGTCGCCATCATGCCCTCACTGCACGACGGTCAGCCCTCACACGGAACAGACACAACACCGATGGACGACACCTGGATGGATGGAAGGGTGGTGTGTGCTGATTGGTGTGCAGTGGGTCAGTGTTACCCCCTGCCCCAGCCTGCATTCGACTTGGCGTCGTTCAGGGAGGCCCTCGACGTCAGTCATTTCCCGCTGGAGGAAGACACCCAACAGATGGACACCGGCAGCACTCCGAAGGTATATTGCCAACCACAAGAAACCCTCTTATGCCGGCGTATATGCAGTTTGTGTGTGTCTGGGGTGTGTAGGTGCTGTGGTTGTCCAATCCGTGCCGGATGATGCTGGGCAATGAGTTGGAGATCGCAATGACATCGTGTGACATCATCGGACCCATCAGTAAGCCATACACAAAGCACCCATCCATCCATCCATCCAACACATTGCTGTTGTGTGTCTTGTCCTTGTGTTGCCAGTGGGCCGTCGGTTCATGAAGGGCGAGGGCTCATCATTCGACCGATGCTTCGAAGCATTCCTGGGGGTGAGCAAACCACCACACACACAGCACCGCACACACTCTCTCCCACTTGCGCATGTGCCGTTGGTGTGTGGTGTGCAGCAACGTAGTTTCTTCCCCTTAGACCCGCCGTACCACGGGCAGCAGCACAGCCACCAGATAGAGTTCGGCCAGGTGCACAGCATGCAGTTCGACATGGCGGGCGTGGCCAAGAACCCACCGCACATGTTCATATTCGCGTCCTCACACATATCGCCCTTCGCAAGGGTACGTGTGTCGATGTGGTGTCCTGGATGGATGGATGGATGGATGGATGCAGGTGGCACAAGAGCGCGTGTTCGTCAATACCGGGCTGTATGATGGCACAAGTAAGGACACACACTCTTCTCGTCTATGGCTGATGAGGGTTATCGGTGTATGTGTGTGTGTGGATGGATGGATCAGAGCCGTTTGTGTGCACGGACATCTTCATCTACCCGCCCATTCTCGACACACAGGACGGCGAGGGCGATGCCGCCATGATGGACGAGTCGGCCACGGTGCGAGTGCGGCTCCCTGAGAGGGTGCGGGTGGACATCACCCGAGTGGACATGGCCGAGTAGACAGAGAAATGCTCGGACGGATAGAGAGATGCATAGCTGGACGTCGGCGGGTGGGCGTGTGTACATATTCCGACTGTTGTGTGTGCTGTCAATACATATCGTTCAATCAATCAACCAGTCAATTGATTGTGACGTGACCCTCCCGCACCGCAGAAGTAAGTCTGTGCCGCAAGCAAGCTACACACACGGCACACACACACACACAGACACACGCCGGAACGACCATATGGCGCCCCTCCCTTGCTCCCTCCCTCCCTTGTCTGTCTATGCACACACACACACGCATGACCCCGCTACTCGACAAACTCCTTCTCGAACCACTCACGCGTCTCATCCCGCGTCCCGGCGAACGCCACCTCACTGCATCAGTCCATCCAGCAACCACCACGATGACCATCCATTGCGCCACAATTGTAAGTCCTGCTTACGTGCGGCAGAAGGGACTCAGTAGCTTGGGGTCGTCGGCCAGTTTGGGGGGCGGCGGCTGCCCGTCATCCTCTAGCCTCTTGCGTGCCGCCCTCACCCTCGCCACGTCGGCTTGCCACTTGGCTCGGTGGTCGTTGTAGCATTCACGGCACATCCGCAGCTCGCGACACGGCATCACCTTGATGATGGCCGCCCGCTCGAAGCATATGCCGCACTCGGGATGAGACGTAGAACTGACGTGAAGATGAGAGACCCACAGGCAATGTACTGGTGCCCTTTCCTCTCTCTCTCTCTCTCTCTGCCCACCCTCACCTCTGGCTCGCCGCGCCCGTGCTAACAGTGGATGGGACAGCAACAGCAGCACTAGAGTTGGCCGAGGGAGCAGCAGATGATGCACTGGCGCCCCCCATGCTCACAATGGGGAATGACGGCGGCTGGATCATGGCCGGTGGCGGCAGAATGGGCACACCGAGACCGCGACCCACTCCACGAGACACGACAGCCCCAGCAGAGCTACGCGAGCCACCATTGACTTCTGTCTGTGCTGATGCGATGGGTGGATGCAGGGGCGAGCGATGTGGCAGGGGGAGAGGGACGGGAGGGGCGTTGTGGCGGCCGTCACTCACTGACGATTGAGAGGACGGTGGGCGAGTCGACACCGATGAGGGAATGGATGACAGCGATCTGAACAGACAGGCACCAAACGAGATCTCAAGCAGGCCGGCGAGAGTGGAACCATTTCCTTCTCGGCCTTACCTGTCGTTTGGTTTGTCAGCTTTGTCCGTCTGCTGCTGCTGTGCGTAGCCGCCCTGCAGTGCTTTGTTGCCTCCCCTGGTGCCCCTCTTGCTGCGGCCGACTGTGACGAACCCATCGCCCTCACCACCGCCATCCCCCACTCCTTGCTGCCGCCCACCGCCGCCCCGAACCGACCCAGAGGGGCCGCCAGACACAGCCGACGGCATCGGTGCAGACGATGAGCATGACGGTTGGGGAGGGGAGAGGGGCGACGGGCTGGAGAGACCAGGGAGACCATGATGCTCTTCCATGTTCTCCTCCTGCTGCTCGCTGTGATCTTCCGCCGTGTCGATGCCACCACCACCGCTGTCGATCGGCACACACACAGATGATCGATGGGCTGAGTGAGGTGAGGCCCTTTTCCCATTTCACCTGGATGATGATGCCGCCTGTTTGGTGCTGTTGGCTCCCTCGCCGCCCTTCTTGGCCTTGGACTTCTTCTTGCCGCCCTTACTGCTGGTGTTGGTGTTGGTGTCCTTGCCCTTCTGCTGTGTGTCGCTAATGCCCAACTCGGCTGCCAGCAATGCGTCGGCCCGCTCGTTGGCCGCACTCTCAATCTCGTCAAACAACTCCAACAACTGACACACAACACACAAATTGACATCGACACGGACTGTGTAAGCCGCCATGTGTGGATCATTTCCCACCTCCTTGGGCACTGCTATCTGCTGCTGCTGCTGGTGGTGTGCCTTCCGTCGCCCCTTCGGCTGCTGTCCGGCCGCCCGCATGGTCTTGACAGATTCGTCCTGCAGGATGGCCTGCGTGACGGTGTTGGGGCGGAAGCCGCCCCTCTTGCCGCCCACGCGATCGCACAGCTGCACAGTCAGACACACAGGGAATTGCAGACATCGACAAGTGCAATTGGACAAGTGTGTGCGTGTATCCGTACCTGACGAGTGCACGGAGGGTTCGGACGGCGAAGCCTATGAAGCTACCCAGCTCGTGCTGGCTGAGGTGGTCCTTGATGCATGCGAGAGCCAGCTGGCACACAGCTGCGTGCAGGCCGTCGCGCAACTGCGATCTGGGGATGAGCGACACACAGTGCATGAGCACACGGACAGAAGACACACTCATGAATCCTTCCATCCATCCCCCACCCGTCCTGACCTTGGCGCGAGCGTCAGTGAGGTCGTCTGCGGGCCCCCCGACGATGTGCGGAAGGCTGGATGCACAGAAGGCCGAATCGGTACCGCCGTGCTTGACAACGTTCGAGAGGAGAGAGATGCAGCCAGAGAGATATACCTGGTCCCGATACCCACAGGCTGTCAGCATCCATACATACACTGATGGATGCAATGGGACAGACCCATGCCCCATCCCACCCTCACCGGCCAGCACGAATAAGACCGGAAGGGCGCTCGCGTACGTACGCCCCACCCCATCGGCGAATCGCGTCACATAGTCGCCGGTCAAGCAAGTCGCCACATAGGCCTGCAGCGTGGGAACATGCATCTGCGGTCACACGGCGTACGGTCCCATTAGTCATCGTACCTCCAATGCCTTGGGAACTCTCATGAGACGCTCGGCAGGCGACTCAGCTGCATCAGCAACGAAGGAGAAAAAGGCCCAGAGCCCGAAGATGTCTGCCAGGGCTGCGGCGGCTCCGCCACGGACGGCCCGCTGTGCGTCAGGAGAGGTCAGGGTGGCAGCCAGTGTATCTACGTGGGGGTAGATGTGCTGTTGCAAAGCGGCCAGAGACGCTGTCCTCAGGGAGACATTCGGCCTGCACCAACGGGTCGAGGTACATCTTACGATATGCGCAGGGTCTCCGTCTTACGATCTGTGTGTGTCACGGAGCTGATGTGCAAGCGGACGAGTCGATGGATAACGTCAGCCGGACTTGTCTTCTTGTCCCCCAGCTCAAGCCTGCAGAAAGGAATGAATGAAGAAAGGAATGAGGGACTACCTGCCTGATTGTGTGC